AAAAATTTAGAAAATTTAGAAAATAATTTTACAAGGAAAAACATTTTAAAATTAATGCATGCAAAATTAAAAAACAAATAATTCATATTTAATTTTTTTATGAACTTGCATGTGCACAAATGTTTGCTTTTATATTTAAATACATTTTCTAGTAATTTTTCCGATTTTCTTTCCTTGTAAAAATATTTTATTAAATTTTTTAATTTGTAATTTTTTACAACAAATTAATATATTTAATTATTTATTTTTATTACCTTTTACATTACTATAAACTCATGTGGATGACTAATTTTGCATTTCCTTACACTCAAAATAATATAAAATAATATGAATATATATGCCAACACTCGCAGCAGCACAAATATTCTTAATACACTCGTCACACACACTCGCTCCTGCATTCTGCATGGAATTGCCATAAAAAAATGCGACATATTTCACAGTTTGATATTCGCTGGAATGTTTTTTTTATTTATCAAGCCATTGCTTGTGCCGAAAAAGTGAATTTATGCGCGTGAAACATTTTTTCTGTGCATTGCCTGTCTGCTTATCTGTCAACCCGCCGGCTAAAAATAAGCGTTCTCGGCACATCACTCTTTGAATCGGGGTCCAATGTGTGTCGCTCGGCGGCAATGTGTGAGCTCATGTGGCATTAAGTGTCGATGATGGAGTCAAACGATGTCGAAGTGATGTGAGATGAGTTGTGATGGTGATGCTATGGTTGTGAGGTTCGCTTTATTGATGTGCTGCCCAAGGCGTTTTGCCAAAGTGGCATTAGCGCTATACTTTTCCAATTTTTTTCGAATTTCATATTCATATTCTTGTACGGCAAATAGGATTTGTTGTAGCAGATATTTGATGTCAAACATAAAAAAAAAATTGAAAAAAATACATAAACAAGCTTTTTTCAGCTGATGACGTCAAACCGACACCGCAAATGTTGCCATCAGCTGTGCCTGCCGTGAAGAAATTGTGCAACTCGCTGCCAAAAACAAGTTTCAATGCCGTTTGACTAAGCATTTAAAGCAGTCATTTATTGAACCAGCCGATATCTAGTCCAGCCGAAAGTACGGCTACCAAGCCTGAAAAAAATGAAGAGTGAAGGAGAAAAGATCTAGGTGTTTCCACTTCATCTTTCACCTTGCAACTTTGACAAGTTGCGTTCTCTAAGATTTTTAACCTCACCGCTTGAGTACCAATGGGACAGTGTCCAGTTTTGAGCGATTAATTTATCTTCAGGTGAAACTTAATAAATCAGGCTAGGGAATTCTTTAGTTATAAATAAATCTTAAAATAAAATTAATGGAAAAGCAACCGCTATCTAGTATTTGCTGACCAAGCGAAGGTATAGAGAGTTGTCATTAAGAACAAGTGGGGAAGTTCGACCAGTGAAAAATATATATTTTCTGATAAGATAAAATATTGAGATCAGCTGATTGGAGTTCTGAACATGAACGAATATTTGTTCGGATGAATCCTAAACACTAAATTAAAAAAAAAAAACAATCTTTCGAGAATCCTTTAGTTTTAGTGAATATATAGTTTTTAAAAAATTCGATCGAAGAAATAATTTTTGCAGATCTCTGATTAAGCGCAAGTAACTTAGAAAAGTACGAAACAAAGCTTACATAAGATCTATGAAATATTTTTTTTATTTTTTATTTTTTTTTTTAAATAAACTTTAAGCATTATTGTATGAACGCGCCCCAAAGCCACCAGATTGTTGAAAACCTATAAGTATAAATGATGTGGGCAAAATAGAGTAAGACTTTGATTCTTCGCAAGTTGTTTAGAAATTTTCAATCAAAAGCGAGTCGCTAGCAGCGGATTCACCTAATTTAGCTCTGTGTGACATATGTGCTGTCCTTAAAAAAACTTATGCTATTAATCGCTTTTACTTACCTTTTTTATCCAGCTCGTCATCAGTCAGTTGTTGTACCGAAATGCGTTCTACATCGAGTAACTCGGATGAGACATCTGAGCGTTCGTCGTTGTGATCCAAGGAATTCTTATGAAGATTAAATTTGTGACATACTTCAAAGGCCTGACCGACGGTGCGTACAATACGCATCGCTTGTGACTGGAAATAAAAGAGGAAGAAGCAAAGAGTGTTAGTAAAATATAGGAAACGGAATTGGGGCTTAAAATTTAAAGGAAACAGAGGTTTCTTGCAAGTTAATACAAAGACAAATTTATATGAAATGTATTGAATTTTTCTAAACTACAAATTTATTTGAAATAAGCGAATCTTTTTTAACTTTTTTTTATTAGATGCCAGCAACACTCGCTAGGCGCTGATAATAACATCTATACAAATCGCGGAAAAACAGGAAATTCCTTCGTTTGCATAAGATTGAGTTATTTCTTAAAACCCTCAACAGCCTCATCTACTTAACGACTCATCTACTTAACGACCAATTACCGACATTTCGCCAAGCTCTGATTGAAATTTTCTAATCAAAGTAGCACACGAAAGCATTACAATTATCATCTACGATCTATAGCGTAAGCGTGCCTCACCTCAAAGTCCATTGTTAAATTCGCTTTATCCACAAAACAGCAGCCCGCCGCATCCAAGGCAATATTATTAATCTGAGCAGCGTAATTGCGGTTATCAGGTAGTGGCATTACGGCAGCGCTGCTGCTGCTGGCGCTCAAATTATCACAGATTACTTTATTTGCAACAAAACCATCGTCTACATTGAGCCGATTGCTTGACTCTTTGCCAACCGGAGATGCCTCTGCAACTTCAGCGCTAACGCTTTCCGGGCGCTGCAGTGGCGAACTGCGTCGCCGTACCCGCGGTTTATCGGCCACAGGTTCGCGGAAGGAGAGCTTCTTACGCGGTTTCTCGCCGCGCGGCTGTTCACCGCTAGGCGCGTTAGTGCTGCCCGCGCCGCTACCGCCACCACCACCACTCGCCATGCTGCTACTACTGCTGCAGTTGCCTAACTGCGCATTGTCATAGCCGGTGAAGGATTTGCGGCGCTGTAATTGCACGCGCTGCTCGCCGCGTTGGTAGAGTTGATGATGGCGCCGACGATTTTCCGGACTCAGATGGTGTGACGCATCCTCATCATAAGCGGCGCCACCACCATTTCCGTTGCCATTAGCACTTGCGTTTTCGCCGGCCAGACTCATTAGCGCAGGTGAAGTGTTTTGTCGCTGCAATATGCCGCGTTTACTATTATCGCCAGCCGCCGCGTAGCTGTCATTTACCGAGCGCGATTGCTGATAATTGCGCGTGTGCGGTTGTTCATACTCGACGCCATTGTATTCGCTCTGGTTGTGATACTGATTATGATTGAGCATTTGTGCGGATGTGGATCTGCGATGCGGTAACGGTGTGCCGTCCGGTGTCAATTTCTTGAACTTCAGCCGCGCCCTCAACACACTTTCACTGCGTTCGCTGCGGTCACGTCCGCGTTCACGGTCTCTTTCACGTTCACGTTCGCGCTCACGCGCTTGCTGATATTGTTGGTACTGCTGCAGTTGTTGTTGTTGTTGCTGCTGGTGTTCCTTCTCCGCTTGATGACTCGATATCTTGCGCTTTGTCTTACTCATGACCGGCAACTCCTTCTTTATCAGATACACAATGTCCTCGTCATTGAAGAGTATGTGACGCGCGGGTGCATGCGCCCCAGCAGTCGCGTTACCACCGCTGCTCGAAGGCATGCAATGTAAGTGCTCGTCGCTCGCGCGCTGTTCTTTATGCGCTTGCCGCCGTCCGTTGCCCTCACTTTCGTCCGTCTCCTCCACATAACGGTAATCACCGGCCTGTTCGTCGTCGCACAGCTCGTCGTTCGCCTGGCGGTAGGCTTCCTTGGCGCGCATTATATTCTCAATAAATGTATCGTCCATAAAATGTTTCCGTCCATTCTTTTGTTGTCCCGCGCTCAATTCATTTTCGACGGTGTTGATGAGTTCGTGTATATCCAGACTCTTATTGCGCGCCACCACTTGCTTGGGTTTAAGGCGTTGATTGGATTTTTTCAGCGTCAGCTCCGGCGCGCCTTTCTCTTTGTTCAACTTATCACCGCCGAGCATGTCGCGTATGAGCCCGCCGCCGCTGCGAAAGATGTTTCGGTGATAGTGTATGCCCGCGTCCTTTTCGGCGCCCGCATTCGTGTTGTTACTTGTGATGTTGCTGTTTGTGTTGCCGGTAGCGCTGCTGTTTGTTGATTTTGCGTTCGTTGACGCCACGCTGGGTTTTGGTTGTTGTTTTTGTGGTTGTTGTTGTTGTGTTTGTGTTTGCGTTTTATCGCCCGCCTTTTTGCCGCGTCCCCAAGGCAGAAAATCAAACGCTTTCGTGATGGGGCTGCGCGCGCACACAGGCGTTTCGGTCACGCTGCGGTTCCGCCACAAGCCGCGCTTTAATGAGGACGTGCCTGTAGCTGGCGCCATTGCGCTCGGTCCACCAATGGCTAAAGGCTTCGTGGCGGCGTCGTGCTTCATCATTTCCCACTCGTCGAGGACCGCCAGTTCGCAGCAATTAGCTTTGTGTGCAAAGGTTTTCAGCGGAGCGTGGCCACGTGCGCTTGCCAAACTAACAGACGCGTAACTTTTCACCTTGATATGTTACACAGCGTATTAATTGTTGCTTTTTATTTTGTTTAATTGTCAATTCGTCGCAAAATTTCTGTGTTATTTATTTATTTCGCTTTGGCGCTCGCGGAAAATGTGCCACCTGTTGTGGGGTAACTTGCGTTTGCCGCTTGGAGGCCGTCGCTTTGTACGCGATTATTCGCAAGTGGCATTCACACACACACACAAAAGCACTTGCAAAAAAAAAATTTGTGTTGTGTTAAATAAGTTATTAATATTTCAATGGCATTTTGGCAGTTTGTTCGCCCACTTAAATGAGCAAATGGAAAAAGTGCCGCTAGTCGCTGAAAGCCAACGGCACCTTTACGCAGTTTATTCACTTTTTATTTGTTTTTGTTCCTTGTTTTAGTATTTTTTGTGAATTCTTTCCTCACTCACTATGTTTTTTATAATGCTCTTGTGTTTCGCGAAAAGTTTATTTTGATTTTGAATTTCTGCGAGTTTTCACTTTGCTCGTTGTTGTGGAAATATTTGAAATGCCTGCAAATCATCGTAACTATAATAGTATACACATGCACAAACACGTATATTTCATGCATAATATATATATTAAAAAAAAAAAAAAAATTATACATCCAAAAAGTTTGTATCACTTTAGCGTTATTATTTGTGGGGTTTGTGTATTTCGCGCTCATAACCGTAAATATATTTTCTATAAGAAACACACGTGTTTATTGTTGTATTATTTTTGTTTAATACTTTTTAAATATTTTTATTGGTTTCATGTGCGAGTTTTGGTTTACAATTTGTATTGAATGATATTTTGTTTATTTAACGTTTCATTTTCATTTATTTTTATACGTAAATTAGAATCAAATAATTGAAAAATTAAAACAGATGAATTTTCAATGGAATTATGTGCAACTGTCAGCGTTTTGCTGAATGACCCTCCAAAGCAATTAAACTTTTACTCAAGCTAACAAGGTTGCTTGAATAAACATATAAAAACAATACTTCATATACTATTTCGTATTTAAATTTTTTTTTTTTCAAATTTCATACTTTTTCATACATAATTTTTTTCCGAAAAATACATTTAGTTGCGATCAAAAGTCAGTTCTTTCGAAATTATTTTTATAGCCGGCTGATATTTATAATTTTTGCTCTTCGTGCTGCTGTATTGCATGCTGTATAACTCAAAATTCCAATTTTCGAACGATCGTTTGTATGGGAGCTATAAGTTATAGTCAACCGATCTGATAGAGTTTTATTATATCATCTTTATACATTCTCAGTAAGTGGCGTGCAAAGTTTGGAGTTTTTAGCTGCTGTATAACTAAAAAACCAATTTTCGAACGATCATTTATATGGGAGCTATAAGTTATAGTGGTCCGATTTGCAGAATTTTTATTGTAGCATTTTTATGCATTCTCGATAAATATTGTGCAGAATTTGGAGGACTTAGCTGCTTAAATAAACAATGCACAACTTCTGAAGCTGTTTTTGAACCCACAATTGTATGTGAGCTATGAGTTATTACCATCGAAACTCACTGATTTTTCTTATACTAAGTTTATATATCATTAGTAAAATATGCTCAAGATGGGGTGTTCTTAGCTGTTGTATTAGCTGCTATATAACTCAAAAACTAATTTTTGAACGATCAATTGTGCGGGAGGTATTAGCTATAGTCGACCGATCTGCATGATTTTTATTATAGAGTTTTTATATATCCTCAGTAGCAAACGGGAAAAATTTTGAGTGATTAGCTGCTTAAATGAATACTCTACAACTGCTAAAGCTATTTTTGAACGCATAGTTGTAAGTGAGCTATGACTTATTGTCATTCGAACTTAATGATTTTTCTTGTACTAAGTTTATATGTCATTAGTAAAATATGCTCAAAATATGGACTGCTTAGCTGCTAAATTGTGTGATATGTAACTCAAAAATACATTTTTTAACTATAATTTGTATAGGAGCTGTAAGTTTTAGTCTTTTGATCTTAATGATTTTTTGTATATTATTTTTTGTTCCGAAACAATTATCTTGTGAAAAATTTACATTCCTTGGTTTGGAGTTTTAACCGATACATCATCGAAATAGTGGGTTTCAAAGGAAAAAGTATTAGAAACCAAACGTTTAGTCTTAGGTTAGAACCCGAATAAGTGTGAAGGACAAAGTTCAAATATTCTACTATGAATAATCTGAATGCAATTCTTATCTGCTGATATATTTTGAAATTTAACCAGGTATTTGGTAGTTTAGTGATGAGGCCTGAACTGTTTGTAGATTCGTAGAGCAAAGATCGGACTTTATTTTGAAAATAATGGCAGAAATATAGTAATTATAATAAATATAAGTCTCAAAAGACATATTTCTTTATTGGAATGCTGCTTCTCAAAATATGGCCCTTAGAAATCTCACTGGTTTTCAGAGAGTGTAAATCCTAATCTTTGTTGAATAACTGAAAGCTGAACATGAAAAATATGAAATCTTGCTCCATACATTATATAATTTAACGCTCCCAACCTT